GGATAATTTGTTTACCCTTTACTGCTGCAATAAACTATCTTTGATGATTCACAAGTGCTGCTCTCAAAGTTGACCCATTCCAATCATTCTTCACTTCCGGACTGTATCTTCGCGTAAAGGTTTCTTGCTTTTGCATTATAGGTTTTTTGAGAAATGAGACATTCCAGAGATTTGTCGGTTTGAAGTGGTCTAAAATTAAGAACACCTAGCCAATGTGCCACATTTAGTCCTGAATAAAATACCTGAGTAGGCCTCCACATCCACAACTATCACTTCTGTGGGAATGAAATTCTATGATGCCGCATCAAAAACGAAGTAGACAAGTGGAGAATCAGGGGTGAAAACGATTGAAATGCAGCTGCTTCCTCTTCTAACCCGATTTCGGTTGTGTAACATGTGCCTACCACGAACACGCATGGGTGATCACGTTGGAAATCCATTTGTCGCAAAATGTCCAGTGACCTAGTGACTGCGAAGTGTCTGCTTTAAAGCACTCTCAACGTTGTCTCGCCTGAGAAGACATCAGCTTTGCTTGTCTTTCTCTTGGAGAAATCAGCAACAGTAATGGTACATGTGCGAAATGCTGCTGAAAGTCAGAAGTGAAGTTGCAGTAGAGACGATAATTTGAATGCTAAAAGAAACACTAACAATGGGAGTATACTAATCAACTGTGTAATCACTTGGGAATTCAGGAAGCCCACTTTTGGCGACCATAAATAATTTTCTAACCTTTCACTCCTGACTGGTGAGCAACAAGGAACAGCACCGCATACCTGCCCAGAAGATGAGAATTTAGTGGACTGAACGGATACGTATAGCTATACTTCACTGCTGGACAAGCCTATTCTTCCCAATGGCTTCTGCTAAAATATGAAAAACATTCCAACAAAGTTGCTTTCCTCCACTCTGAATCTACAGAGAGAAGCGTATATGTGTGCACTAATTTGCTTGCCACCAAAGTATGGAAGACACACAGAGCCACCGACTAGATGATGGAAATTTAAGTGGTAACTCGAGAGGCCTCTATGTATGTATCGAAATCAAGCATTACGCATACTGCAAGATGGAACTAAACATAACTGCTTCTAATTCACCTCTTAGCTTTGAATGTGTTAAGTAGTGCGTTTAGATAAACTATTTAGATAAATACATATAGATTACCAAATTAAACATTTCAGAGATCATTATGAGCACTTCTAAGTACACAGCTGTTGGAAATCAATCACGAGCCAACGGCTATAAAGAAAAAGGGCATATAATGAAGGCAACTGGAGGGAATAATGCAAAATTAAAACTTGAAACAACATGGTCAGTGATATACAGCCAACTATGAATTATTAATCTTAATCCTCGTCTTCATCGTACTCCTCATCGCGTTTCCGTTTCTGTCCTTTTTGGTTCTCTTTAAAGTTCGAGTTATTGCAGTCAGGATTGAAATCTTCCGTCTCGTCTTCATCCTTAAACAAACATTCCAAAATCACTTTCTTAAGCTGTAATAATGTAGAAGAATCTAGCCTCTAAAACAGTAGCAGGCAATATACAGCATCTAATGAATCCTCCTTTTATGAGGAAAAATGAAATAAAGGATTTTTTAATAGCCCTAACGATGACGCATATAATTAAATCCCTAACCTAAATAGAGAGTAGCAAAAGCTGCACCTGAAGGACTTCGCTACTGTCCAAATAAGCCAGGCCAGGTTTAGCATCGTCCTCTTCTTCGTCCTCTTCATTTTCTCCTCCACCAGAATAGCTATTATTGTCGTCAGTAAGTTCTTCCTCGTCCTCGTTTTCCGATTCTTCTGCTACATCGTTCTTGTCGTATCCGTCAAGCCATTTAAGAGCGGGTAACATCTGAAAACTTCTCTAAACAGCAGTGCGAGTTAATGACTGTGTACAATCAACAGTAAAAACTTCACGCCTAAAAGAATGAAATGAGGTCGAAAAAACTTTGATTTAGTTGAAACGGCTTGACAGCTGCAGTCGCCGAAAAATTCACTTCACCTTTGAGGCCTTAATGCCGCAAACAGTACGCAAGATTCGTTTTCTATTTTCTTATTTCATCTTTTAAAAAACGATTGTAGTTTTAACTATGCACAACATCTTGCTTGTAAAAATCCGGACAACTACATTAAAATAAAAATTTCATGAAAAGTATTTGAGGTACTCAAATAGATTGCTCATAAACTCGTAAATGCCACGTCCTAATCAAAAAGGACGAGGTTCAACTGTTACCGTAGGCCAGCAAACAATAATGGAATGCTCCAATCAGCCAGAGAGTACTAAACTACTTCAGATGGTCAAAGATTATTAAAGCCATTGCCAAATAGAGTTCGAAGGAATGGATCTTAGCAACCGAAATCATATAAATCTGACCAAATAATACCTTGAAAACACTCTCACGGTACTTCTCAACATTAGCTACTTCGCAGTTGAAAAGGTCTAGCGATACCAGGTTACGCAGGCTAGCCAGTGGGCGCAGACTCTCAATTTCGATAATGTTATTTCCTGCGAGGTTCAAATGAGTTAAGGATGGGCAGTTCTCAAGCCTTTCTAAATCTTTCGAAATTTTGTTATCTGACAGATCTAAGTGTTTCAAAGCTGGCAGGTTCGGCAACCCCTAAAAGTGTTTTCTGATTAAGTAAAAATAACTTAAAAGTTACTCTCACGGTAGGATCGAGCTACATAAATTACCTCATTATTTACTATTGCGGTAAAAAAAATAAAGGAAAAGCAAGCCTCTAGTGAAGTCAGCCCAACATTTATCATGGAAAGAGTTTTGAGAGCTTTATACTCGTCCGACAAACCAGTGATTCTTTTTGCCTTTATATTGTCCAGGTTTAGATGTTCAACCTCGTTAGGTTCGAGACCTCTTCTTTCCAACTGGATTCTATCTTCCATCTAAAAACAAAATAATTGGAAGATTTTTTTTTTTCTAACAACGAATGCTGTAAATGCATTTAAAATCAGGAATTTTATGAAGTAACGTTCCAGTCTGAAGAAGATGAGAAAGCAATAAACAAATAGCATTCGAAAAACGACTAGTGTTTGAGGTCAATTTTTCATTTTTTAGAGGAAGCTGGAAATGTACATGTGGGAGGCTTTTTGAGTGCTACTGAATTTCACGAATGCGAAAAGCATACGCTTCGCAACTGGTCACTCCTGTGATGCAGCTAGTGTTAGGAGTCAATGAGTAAAGATTGAAAACCTTGGGACGTCGTCTACCAATCAAAAGATCGAACGAAATTCGTAAAAGATAAGAGGTTGTTTTCGCCTAATATTTATCTAAGGAGGAGAACTAAGAGGCAAATAGTAATTACTGACACAACCCGGAACAAGTGCAGAACAAAAGAAACAATGAATAACGAGAATATAATATTACTGCACAGAAAATTATCCCTACCACGGTTCAGACACACGAATTTAAACATTTTAATACCCTCTGCAACAATCAAGTGGTATCTGCGTCATCTCTTTCGTTGCGTCCACGTACCCCCGGACTAGTTTTAAAGAAACTGCTGCAGTCGACTGGCATGCAGAACCTGTTAGTTGGAATACTGACCATTAGCTACTTGGTTGTTTAGGTTTTGTGCATGTAACTGAACATTGGTACAACCTCATCAACTGAGTATCTGGTCATAATTTGCAGTGGGACTGCCCGCTTCATTACGGTGTTAACTTTAGAATGGTCAATCTGCGAATGTTGGAACGAGCTGCTCCCAAGAGCAAAAATTTAACCACTTGAAGTTCATCAAACATTCAAGATACAGGCTTTTTAACTTTCAGCCTACCGCTGAAGATCCAGTAAAAACATGAAATGTGTGTCTGCTGGAACAGTGCCAACTTCCCAAAAGCGAAAAAGGTTTGAACGGACACGACTCTGAATTAATTTCCGCCCATTTGGGGTAAACCGTACAGTCGTCATACTGTTTTGAGAATGGATCTAAGAATGAAAATCTCTTAAAGTATAGGACTTATTAGAGTCTAGGCCCAAATACGAAGAATTAAGCAGGGCCCCTGGAGAAATAAAATTTTCCTCCAAATCACGCCGACTTCATGTCGGTCAATTCACCAGGTTGCAGCTTGACACGCTTATCTTTCCAGACTTTTAATTCAGCCTACCCCCAAGAAAACCAATAATTTTTGACGTTTAGGTTTGCCATGTCTTTCACTCTTTAAAACATATTAATTGAATAAGCGCTAACTTCAGCCAGCAGTTTTTTCATCAGTCATTGACGAGCATTCACAAATCTTTGCTCTACACAGAGAATTCTCCCTCACGCTTTCGGGGCTTCCTTCCTTTTCCGACTAGATTTAAGAAGAAAAATTAGCTGTCTTCATTGAGCATTTAAAGAAATGAACATCAACAATAATTCAGCCTTCTTTTTTTTCCCTCAGCGCTCTTTATTATTTCTATACCACTATTTTTTGGCATTTTATTAAATACTAGCAAATCAAGTTTTTCCTGGTTTTCAATTTAACGACCTTTATCTTCTTCATAAGCGTTTACACCACACACACACACTCTCTCTCCCTCTCTCTCTCTCTCTCTCTCTCTATATAT